AAAAAGAAATAAGATGAAAAAATTGTTTTCTATATTTTTAAAATAAATGATATTTAGACACTAGAAGCTTATTTAAGAAAAGGATTACCTATGAAATTTATTAAAAAAAAAAAAAAAGAAATCAGCAATATTACTACCTAATAAAAAAAACAGAAACTTTTAAATATAAAATATGTAATAGAAATAATTTATTTATTTATTTTATTTTATTTTAATATTTTCTTAATAAATAGCTAGATTTCAAAATTAATACTAATATTCAACTTTAATTTATAATTTAAAAATTCTTTTTTATAATTGAATACTGTTTTTTTTTGTAAAACTATTTATAAAATTATGATAAAAAAAGAATATTTTAATTGTAATAATACAAAAAAATGTAAAGAAAGTTTAATTAGTAAAATAAAAAAAAATAAAAAAATCATTAAATTTTATTATTAAGAATATGCTAAAAATTTTGATTTAATAAAAAATTAAATAATAATATTTCTGATTAAGAAAGAAAAAAAATATTTTAAGAAAATTTAACAATGGTTAAATTTTGATTGGTAATAAAGAAAAAAGAAAAATAAAATGGTTATGATTAAGGCAAATATGATAGAATAATTATTTGAAATCTATAATGTAAAATAATTCTAGATTGAGATATAACTGCTTATAAAAACAGGTTTAATTATAAATATTTTCAATACTATAATTATCAAAAATAAATTGAAAGGGTAAATAAAATTACATTTTATCTAAAAAAAAAAAATATATATATCTAATTATATATGTATTAGAAGTAAAAAAAAAAATAAAAAAAATAGTCTATTACTTATATAATAATATAAAAAGTTGTGTTTAAAGTTGAATTTGAGTATTTTTTCTGATTTTATATTAAAAGTAAATTTCAAAACTCATAAATAATTAGTATTAAATAATATATAAATAATTTACAAAAAATAATAAAGTAGGAATGAATATTTTATTTGTGTTAAAAGATATGAAACTAAAAATTAATTAAGTATATAAACTAATAGATTAATAGTTTAGTTTTAGATATAAAGATTAAGAAATCAAAATTCATTAATTTTTATATATAATTATTCTTAAATATAAAGAAAACTATAGAATTATAGAATCTAAGAAGCTTATAAACTAGCTTTTTCTAAATAAGTAAAAAAACTAAAATATCTTACAATCTATCGTAAATAATATTATTGTAAAAAAAGTAAAATGATTGCTAAATTGCATAATAAAGTAAATTATAAATATACAACTATCATCATTAACTAAGAAATTTGAAACTAAATAGGTAAAGTATTATAAAAACTTATGCAAAAATTTGAAAATATTATGAAAATTTATAATTTTTAAATTAAATATGAATCAGAAAAAAATTTTAAAAACTTTAAAATGAGAAAAATAAGAAGATAATATTCCTTCTTATATTAATGATTATCAATTTAAACTTGTAATAAATATAAAATTACAAAAATATTGAAAATATTATAGACCATTAAGAGAGACAAAATATTTAGTAAAATATAAAAAATAAATAAATTGTAGAAAAAATAAAAGATCTTAAAGTTTATTATAAAAAAAGCGAAATAAAATTCTAAAAATTTAATTAGAAAACTAACTTAATAAGCTTAATAAAAGTAAAAAATTTACTGAATGGTTAATTATAAATTTTATAATTTAATACTTTTTATTTAGTATAAAATTTATTTAATTATATATTATACTAGCTTAAAATAAGTAATGTCTTATAAATTATTCTTTATATATAAACAAATATTATTATAAAGGTATTCTTATTTTTTGTAATTTATAGAAAATAATATTAACATTAAAATAGATAAGATTTAATTTATTTAAAAATATATACTTTTTTAATATCAATAAATTGAATTCAGTCAAAAATTTATTAGTTATGTTAACTATAGAAAAATGGGATTCAATCTGTGATTTATTACCAATATTAAATCTTTTTGTAAAAGCTATAGAAATTTTAGGTATGAATAACTACTATACACATTCAATAATAATTCCTATATTAATTGATATCAAAAAACAATTTTATCTTATAATATCATGTGATATATTAGCAGCTAGAAAAATTATTAATGATAATGATAAAGTGGCATTTAATGAAAAAATTGTAATAGAAATGACACCAGTTAATGCTACTAGAAAAATTAGAATTAGCGAACCTGTTAATTATAATGGCATAATTTAAAAAATTAAACTCTACCTTTTTGTAGCTATAAATCATTATTGGAATAATCTTATATCATCTGATATGCTTCTTTCTAGTCTTTTAGATCTAAGAATAAAAGATCTCAATTTTGTTATTATTACAAAACGTCAAGAATTAAAGTCTCAAGATTAAAACAATAATTCTAATTTATAATTATCATTCACAAATGTAGATGAGAGTAAAGACAAAAAAGTATTTACAGATTTTGCAAATTTAAAGAAAAAGGTTTCTCTAGCAGATGATAAGGTTGGTTTATATTTACAGTTAGAAGAAATTAATTTAGAAGTTTATCTATTTACATAGTGATATAAGCGAAAAGAAAAGTTTTCAGTTCTAAATTTATTTGTTAAAAATACTTAGCTAGTGAAAGGTTGTTTTCAGATGCTGAAAATTTGTTAACTGCAAAGAGAACTAGAATGTATCTTAGATTTAGATTATTCAAAAGGTTGACGTTTTAAAACAGAATAGTAAGCATTTAGATTCAATTTTTAAGAGTTATAAATCAAGTTTTCTTATATATTGTTAACATTTGATACTTTTTTTATTTTTCTAAATAATAAAATAACATATAATAATAAATAACTAAGCAATACCTTACACATGATAGTGTTAATTTAATTCACATAAATCACTCAAGCTAATGTTATAGAATACGAGATAAACTTAATTTATAAAAATATTGGGCAGTTTTGTATTTCTAATAAATAACTAATAATCTAACGGGTGTAATGGCATATCCGTTCACTAGATTAAGAATGATCTGCAAATCACGTAATTGCAAATTACGGATAACAGATGATTAGATAGAAACGTAGTAACGTGGTAACTTGTATTTATTTTTCATTTTAATAAAAATTTTCTTCGTATATAACACTAATTGTGACAAAAAGTTTATAATCTAAAAGTTATTGGTATCGTTTCAAAGCGTGAAGAGTCATCAGGCAAACTTGGCTCAACATCATATGCAACATCCGCAATGTAGACTAGTCTATTTGTTTCAGAAAATTCAAGGCATTAAATTAATGATTACATATATCAATGATCAAGATAGTAAATGAAATAGATCAATTAAAGTCTGTAAATAAATATAATGCTTAATTTTATAGATGTTCTATGATAATTCTTAATATTCACTATACCAATTTCTATGCAATATTGGAAATTATAAAAGCAACCAAATAGGCATATAGATATCAAAAAAATTAGCGTTAGGTAGTATTGAATATGCAAAATCTCATCATATAGTAACAAATTTACTAATTAAGCTTTGTTATAGAAAAAATATATGTAAAATACAAAATAAAGTTATCATTAACTAAAATTTTTTAATGTGTAGTTTTACTTATTAGGCTTTTTAGCCACGAATAAGTTAGAACTTTTTTCATTAACATTAGTATTCTCATTTGTCTTCACACTTTCTCCGTTACTATCAGACCTCGTCACTATGCTAACATATTTTGCTATTTCTTTATTAATGACTTTATCAAGTTAGTTTATTATATAATTCAAGAATTCATTTCTGAAGAAGATGTCTTTTAATTTCAGAAGTAACCATTTAGAAAATAATTTCTTATGCGCTCCAGAAGTGTAGACTTTATATTCTTTTCTGTTTACAAATCTAATATATGATTCATATAAATAATAACTTCTCTTAGATACTGCTATAAATATCTCCTTGCCTTTATTATGATCGTGATAATCTACAATATCTTTTAATAAGTTTATTTCTGCATGTAAATACATGTGTTGTTTATATCTTTGTTGTCCAGTCTATCTACGCTACCATATATATTGGTTAGTCTTCCTGATATATATTTATTGTTCAAATATCTTCTCTTAAATTCGCGGGATTAGGAATATATCTTTAGACAGTATTCTTTTACAAAGATATAGGTTGATTAATAATAATGGGATCAATTCTACACACACGTATATTAGCAAATTGGAGTTTGTACTGAGACTTACAAGCACATGCTGTAATATCAATCAAACCCGCATAATATGATCCCACCTTTCTAATATGTTTTAGAAATTTTTCTGAGGTTGAAGAATTGTTAAATTCCTTATAGTAATTACTACATATCAGACTTAAAGTGTATCTATCTACTTCATCTATATTTTTAGCGTTAATATTTGCATAATCCATAAAAGTTCTAATATGCAGATCTTGTTTATTATTTTTTATATTATCTTTTATGTCACCCTTAAGTTTTTCAAATCTATTATTGAACTTAGCAGAACAATACTCCAATATACGTCTGAATAAATTCCCTACATCTTCTCTTTTCAAAGCATCTTCTAATTTGATGGAAGCATCTTTAGACAAACTTTTCACATATTTCTTGATTTCATTGATATATTCAACATCTATGTTAGTTCAAAGGCTATTTTTAGAAAGGTAAACATCATATTTAATTGCGTGGTGGATCAATCTTACTGCTACCACTTCCCTATTTCTTGCTAATATTATTGCTAAATTGCAAGAAAAGTTTTTATACTCCAGATTAATGCCTTCTTCTTTTTCATTATCAACATCAAATATGATACTTTTGGCAATACACGCTTTGCTATGCAATTCCATCATTTTTAGCTGTATTTTTGCAATTTTGCCAGGATAAATCGTGTAAATCACTCACAAAATTTCCACAAAATTAATACATTTCTATACTCCTTTTGTACTCCTCCCGTGTTTATTACATTATTTTTGTGATCAACTAACATAAGCATATGTGCAGTACTGATAGCGATAATATTATCACCTCAGATTAATGGTTCTCAATGGGAGGAATTTTGTCGTATAAGGTTCTTCTACATGTTTGCTATCACGATCTTTGTCAATTAACTGAAGATAATTCACTCTCATGGTCAGATTTCTTTAATTGACATTGTGAAATAATCAAAGCACGATACGAAATTAAGATGTTTCATATATGAGGTTCCTTAACCTATACCTCAGGTGTAATATGACCAAATGATTGTTACTGAAAAAGTAAAGAGTTAGGAGCTAGTAAATTTCTTATTCCTGCACAAGGGTTAAGTAGACTTTTATCCTAGACTTGGGGGTGCAGACTCTTATCCTGTACTCCTTTTGAATCTGATTGGTCTGAAATCATATATCGCTTTGACATATATAAATTAATTCTGTTTTCTTCGAATTTAAAGAGAAAAAATAAGCTAATTTCTAAAACATAATTTATAAAGTATATAATATTTAAAATTTTATTCTTTTATTTATTTCAAAAAGAAAAATAATAATAAAATATTTATTAAAGTTACTCTTCTTTATGTACATAATCGTCAAAATTGACATTTTCTTCCATAATTTACAGTGACTTCCATAATTATTGTTTCACTTTATTTAAACTTTCAAATCATAATACCCATGTAATAAAATTGAAAATTTAAACAATTTTAAAGTCTGTGACTTTATTTTTAATATATTTAAATTTAATTGATACTTTATTTGTAAATTTTTAAAAAATTTTGCGTTATATTTTTTTTCGTGAAATAATACTTTTAGCATATATAAAGAATAAACTAATTACATAAAATTCTTTGATTTGTTACTAACCTACCACACCCAAAATTTTTTTAATATAATTATTACTACTTTGTATATCTTCCATTAGCCTTAAGTACATCTTTAATTCTTTGTGGCATTATATCAATTAGTTTTAAACAAAAGTCAGTATCCATTTGACTTCATATCAGTTGTATCTTATTCTATAGATCTTTTGCACTAGTAATATTATTAGGAAGCCATCACAATTAATGATCAATTTTATTCTACAGATGTTTAATAGGATTTAAGTCTAGTAATTATGATAGCTAATTCAAAATCTTAACATTATTACTATCAAACTATTTGTATGTCTTTTTTGCTGTATGTTTTGGATCATTATCCTGTTGGAAAATGACATCATTTACATTTAAATCATATTCGTTAAGGGTTCCTATGAATTCATCTGCTAAAATCTCTCAATATAACTCTCTATCTATTCTTCTATCAATTTTACAGTACTTTTCTACACCAAATACACCTATACAATCCCATATCATTATAGAACTTCTACCAAACTTTACAGTCAGCTTAATATGTTGTGGTTGCAAAAGGTAATTTTGGATCTCTCTAACATCATTCCCTTCTATCTGAACTAAAAATTAAGAACTTACTTTCATCTGATCACACTACCCTTTACCAATCTTTTATAATCCAATCATAATACTTTTTAATAAAGTTTTTTTGAGCAATTCTATATTATTTTAGAAGCAATGACTTTTTCTTTTTAACTCTAACTGCAAGACCTTACCTTTTTAATGAATGTCAAATTGTATTTGCAGAAACAATAATATTTTCATTAGAAATTAAATTTTTTTGAACTTGAATTGCATTTGAATATTCATTTGACTTAATAAATCTGACAACATTTTGATCATGACGTTCTGAAGTATATTTGGGTGGCTTGATCTTGGTATAGTATCAAAAGAATCTATTTGTTCTTTTATTTTTTTGATTCTAATTACAGAAGAATGACTAATATTTTCGCAAAAAGCTATTATACAATTTGGTATTCTCTTAAAAAAATACGTTCCTTTTAATAAAATAGAATCAGCTTTATAATTATACTAAAAAAAAAGAAAAATCTCAAAGAAAGTCGTACAAACTGATCTACAAATTTATTTTATTTATATGTGTAAAATGTATTATACAATCACTATTTTATTTTGTTTATTTTTAAATGCCAAAAGTATTGTTTCACAAAAAAATACATAACAAGAAATTTTTTAAAAAACCACAAATAAAGTATTAACCAAATTTAAATATATTAAAAATGAAATCATATCCTTTAGAATTAGCTAAATTTTTGGTGTTATTTTTACTTAATTATGTGAATATCATGATTTAAAAATTTTAAATGAAATGGAACAATAATTTTGAAAGTTACTATATCTAGCTTCTTCAAATGTTATATTACCTTATCCTGAGAAATCAAATGTAATACAGTTTCTGAAACTAAAACTTCTTGCAGAAAATCAATTGGTTTTTTAGGAGAAACCAGTTCATTTGTTAAAAGATTATTAAATAAAAAAAGTTTTGAAAGTATATCACTAATAATACTTAATCCCTTTGAATCATAATACCCTGGCTATAAAATAAATTTAATATAAATATATAAAAATTATATAAAAATTTATCAAAATGATTCATTATTGCCATTAGAGTTGCTACTTTTCTTGATCCAATTTCTTTACAAACTTATAAAGAAAAATTCTGGTAGTAATTATCAACTTTTTCATAAATAATATTAAGGAGATCATCTTTCATTTGGATTATTCAATCTTCTAATAATTCAAAATTAATCTCTATAGGATAACCTTTTCAGATGCTATCAGGAACAATTGATGTTTTTACATTATGGATTTCACAAAATAAGTATTAGTCTTCTTATGTTGATATCCCTAATAAAAATTATTATTATAATTATCTCTATATATATTTTTTTTATAATTTTTTTAGAACTTGTTTATTTAAAAATATCTTTTTTTTATTTACCATTTTATTTTCAATTTTTCTTAATAAAAAGTGAATTTTTAATTAGGTAAAAATTCCATACAAAAAGGACATTTATTATCTATAAATAATTAAAAATTAACTATTATTTTGTATATCAAAGATATAATTTTTTAATTTTTAACAATAAGAAATAAATAAATACAATACACGATAAAAGTTTTCAGAATTACGTTTTTATTTATTATACTTCAAAAACAACTTAAAAATACTTGAAAGTTTAAAATTATATATTTTATTATATAATGAAAAAAAATATTAAGCTAAGTCAATAGCTTAGCTTATTGTCATCCTTATCAATTATTTATTCCAATCATTTTGGCATATTACAAATCAAATTAAAAAAAATTTTAGCTTAATTCCCTCTTATTTTTTTTAATTATATTAATAAAAATATTTATAATAATTGATTTTTTATTAATTATAAGATTGTTGATCTTTTTTTTTACAAGTTCCTCCAAAATTGATCACAAATTCTCAATCAGATTTAAATCCTGGCTATTCAATCACCAATTCAATAATCTTAGACTTTATTTAGAAAGAAATCTTTTAGTTTTTTTGTCTGTGTGTTTAGGATTATTATCCTATTAAAAGATACAATACTTTCCCATTATATAATATCTAAAAATGGCTAATACAATGATATTACGTGAAATAATTAAAATTTATTAGTCTGGAGTGTAGTGTAAAACTATTTACAGTTTAAATGCAGTAACATAAGATATCTATCTATTCCCTCACTCTTTGTTTGAGTTGATATTTATAGCATTTGTTTACTGCTGATCTATTACAAATTTCTTTATCTTATGAATTTAAAATGAGTTATATTTTTAACGTTCTAGACTTACAAATAATCCTTATTACCTAGTTTTAAATATAAATGCAAGTTAAAAGAGCCAGCTTGTAAGCTAACTTAGTTTAGTTTGAATTATCAATTGATTTTCCTAAGTCAAGCTAGCTTATACAAAGTTTTATGCTAATCAAAATTAACCAAAATTGCATCACAAAATATTATACTATTTGATATATTTTTTGGTAATAAAAAAATACAAAATAATACTAATAAATGTTAACTTCTTATTTATAATAAGAATATAGAGTAATGTAAATATATAAGTAATAATTTAGTTATGAAAAGGCTACAGAACAATAAAAATAAATAAATATCAACTTGAATATAAAAAGCTCACAGAATATTAAATATAATAAATAGGTAATAGTATATTTATAAGTAAATAACAATATATCTATAACTAGGTAATAATTTAGAGTAACTAGGTTACAATATATGCAAACTAGTTCAAAATATAACAATATATATATAAGTTCTTCAGTTATTATTATATCATTGTATTAATCCTTATTTAATACAAAAATGAATTTCCTGGACAACTTAATATAAGATTTGTAGTTTTTAGTATTAGTATATCAAAAAACTAAAAATTGAATTATGCTAATGCTAGTTATTAATCATATTTTAAGAAAAAAATAATTTTTATATATTCAAAGCTTTACAAATAAAAAAATATACTTATTGTTTATAAAAAAAAATAAACTTTAAATTATTTGTAGAAAAAGTTAACAGAAGTTTGGTTTAAAATAGATCACAAGTCAGAATTTAATATTAATAAACTATTTGATATTAATAATGAATATATACAAATATTAACTAGTTAACTATAAATTTTATTATATAAATTAAAAGAATAAGATAATACATTTGTATTATAACAACTTTTTTAGATTTTATCTTAATAAAAGAATAAAATTTAATATTAATTGGCTTAGATTTATTAAAAATTAAAAAAATCAACAAAGTAAAATTGTTGAATTACAAATTTCTTTAATATAAATATATAGATCTAAATATCAAATAAGTTTATGTGAACTTTACATTTAAAGATCAATACTTTGACATATGTTTTATATTATATTCTATAATAAAATTCAATTTAAAATAAAAAATAAGAATATTAATAAATATTTATTTTTAAAGTTTGAATTTTAGATAAGATTAATAATTTAGATAAAAATTATATAGCATTACAGATTTTATATGATCTTAATTTTTTTCATCTTATATTAAACAAATATAATCAAACTGAAACTTTATAAAATTATATTTAAAAATTATTAAATGTCAACAAAAAAGATTAAGATAATAAAAGTATTATAAATCAGTTTTATATAAAGAAAATTTCTAAATTTACATAGGAGTATATGTATATAGGTCATGTGATATATATTTGTCACTAGTGTTATACTTTCTACCTTAAGTTTTTACTATTTATTTCAAGGACTTAAAATTTTTTGGTAAAAAATAATTATTCGTCATATACTATCTGTCACATAGTTATCATACAGGTATTTTCTTAATTTCTTCATATTGGTAAAAGTAATGTTAATGTCAGCCATATCATGTGATCTGTATACAATACATCTATACACAAATAGAAATTATCTTATATAAAATAATTAGAATATCAGTAAATGTTTTATTATATAATTTTAAATTTATATTTTCAATTCAATTAATATTAATTTTTATTAGATTTTTTCATCAGATACAATTATTAAAACTGAATTTCTGATAAAATATTTCAAAAATATAAAAAAAGCTTTATGAAAAAATTTAGCTGATAATTTTTAGATGGTATTATATAATTATCTTTATGATACTTTTATAAGAAAAAAATATATTTATCAAGAAAATTTTAATAGTTTCTGTTCAATTTATAGTCATTATAA